TATTCCAAGGAATCATAAATCATCCCAAAGCCAGTTGTCTTGCCACCGCCAAAATGGGTTCTGAATCCAAAGATGACATCTGGTGTGGCCTTGTACATTCTGGCTAGTTTTTCCAGAATTTCTGTCTTTCCCAGGTGAAGAACATCAATGACCATCTATTTCTGCTGAAGTAGTCGGTTGGTCATGACTTCCTGGTCCACGTGGTTATTTTGTCGTTCATGATGGCCGCTGAGCTTCAAGCAGCCAGGAAGGAAAAGAGAGCCACAAATGGAATTCTTAATTCGTGGACTAATATCTTATCTATCAAAATGACATGACCTATTAACCCATGGTTTTCTAAACATTTTTGTAAAGTGTAGTAGTACAGAGCCTGCACTTGGGTCCATCAGCCAAGGGTTCAAATCATAATTCCAGTGCTGTGTGACCTTGATCAGGTTAAACCAGAGTTTCTGATCTGTTTCCTCTTCTTTATGAGGATAATGCAGTGCATATAAGGAGAACACTCAATAAATGTTAGTTCATTTTAGGGTTTTTTTGTTTTGTTTTTTACTTTATATTTTGATAATAGATTGATGGGAATTTACAGAGATCTAAGGTACACAGTTTTTCCCAATGATTACATCTCCTGTAACTAGTATAAATCAAAACAAGAAAATTAACATTGGTAAATAGTGCCTATAGTTCTTTGCCACTTTATCACATGTGTAGATTCATATATCTGTCATCACAATCAAGATAGTTGTGTTCTTGTTTTATTCCATCACTACCAAAGCTCTCTTTGTAGTCAGATCTACCCTTCCTTTCCCCATACTCCATCATCCTTAACTTCAGGCAAAGCACTAATCTCTATAATCTTGTTATTTTGAGAATATTACATAAATGGAATCATTCATAAGTGACCTTTTGAAATTAGCTTTTTTCACTCAGAATGATACTCTTAAGATCCATTCAATTTGTTGCATGTATTAATAGTTATTTCCCTTTTATTGCTGACTAGCATTCCATGGTATGGATATACCACAGTTTACTTAATCATTAACTTCTTTAAGGGGATTTGGGTCTTTTCAAGTTTGAGGCTATTTTGAATAACACTGAATTAAGCCAGTGTTCAGATTTTTTGTGGATTTAAGTTTATTCCATTGGAATGCCCAGGAGTGAGATTGTTAATTCATATGATAAATGTTATGTTTAGTTTTTAAGAAAACTGCCAAACTATTTTATATTCCCACTGAGAATGTATGAGAGATCCAAAATAAAATGTAGTGACAATAGCTTTCTGCTCGTATCTCATCTTGATCTTAATTTGCATTTACCTGATGGCTAGTGATGTGGAACTTCTTATTGCGTGATTATTTGCCATGTGTATATCCTCGTTGGTGAAATGTCTCTTCATGTGTTTTGCCCATTTTCTAATTGGGATGTTTGTTGTTTCATTGTTGAGTTTTGAGAGTTCTTTATATATTGTAGGTATGAATCCTTTGTCAGATATGTGCTCTGTAAATATTTTCTCCCAGTGTGTAGTGGTGTTTTTTTTTTTTTTTCATCTTCACAGTTCATCTTTGTCTATCCCTTGATCAGTAACAGATATTCTTTGTTATAGTAGCTATATAATATCGTGATATTAGAACAGTTCCTCTTTCTTGTTTTCAGTATTGATTTAGCTACTATTGTACATTTGCCTTTCTATATAAATTTTGAAATCTTGTCTATATCTACAAAAAAATGTTGCTGGGATATTAGGAATTGTGTTAAACCCACAACTCACATTAAGGAGAATTGACATCTTTACTACACTGATTATCCCTATCCATGAACACTCTGTGTCTCTTCATTTATTTAGATGATTTTTGATTGCTCTCATCAGCATTTTATAGTTTTCAGCATAAAAGTCTAATACATGTTTTGCTAGGTTTACACCTAAGTATTTCAGTTTGTTTGGAGCCAATTTCCAAATAGCTATAGGGCTATTCAAATTATTTCATACTGGATAAGTCCTAGTAGTTTGCACTTTTTGAGTAATTTGTTTCACTTGTTAAATTTCTGTGACTAGTGTTAGTATTCCTCTACTAACTTTTTGATGTCCACATCATCTGTAGTGCTCTTCCCTTTTTCATTCTTTGTTTGGTAAATTGTGTCTTCTCCTTTACCATCCTCAGTCTTGTTGAAGGTTTGTTAATTTCATTGGCCTTTTCAAATAACCAGCTTTTTGTTTGTTTGACTTTTCAGTTTTCAATTCCACTAGTCTCTGCTCTTATATTATTTTCTGTCTCCTGTGAGGTTGAAATTGAAGTCCGTGTTCCTTATGCTGCCTCCCTTGACATCTGGAAGGGGAGGGCCTCCTCCTTATTACTGGTGGATGGTGTGGAAGTCTCTTGATACCTCTTGATTAGCTCCCTGGGTAATAGGGGCCTGAGTGTCTGTTTACTACTTCCCATTGCTCTTCATTGACCCATTTAAGGAGTGGGGACCGAGGAGGTTTACTGGTAGGCAGTAGTAAAAGTTCTGAGTGTCCAATAATCCTTTTTAATGCCTCCCCAGCATAGAGGTAGAGGAGTAACGCCTCCCCAGCATAGAGGTAGAGGAGTACCTCATTACTGTCATGGAGGGCAAAATTCACGCTTTTGCCGTTGTCCCTGCTAATACTGCAGGGGGGCCTCATTAGTGCCCAGTAAGGATGAAAGCCCCAGCTCCCCACCAGTCTTCTCTGACAGACACAGCAGTGTGTCGTTGGAGTACTTGGTTTCTGCTTGGCCAGGGTGGAAGTCTAGACTTCCCACTGGGCCTTTGCTGGTGGGAAAAGGAGCACAGTTTTATCTGTGGTGTTTGACTGGAGTAGAGCAGTTACTGTCTAAAAGTTTTGTCTTGGTGGACTGCCTATTTCCTGGTCCTTAGGATAAAGAGAGCAGGTTTCTGTGGGATTTTTTTGTTTATTTGTTTACACCTGTTGATATTCATAGGACGGTGACTTCATCCATGGTGACTGCCCACTTTGGAATATATGAGGCTAAAAGAAAATCCAGTGAATTCACCACTGTGTCGTTCCTTGGGTCCTGAGGACTCTAGCTAGTCTGCTGCCTTCTCTCTACCTTTCAGTCTTCTTTGATTGTTTCATATAGAACACCTAGAGTTTTTAGCTGTATTTATATAGAGGAATAGGGAAAAATATGTTTACTCAATCTTACTCTTTTGTGAAATGCATTGTCACATAATTTGCAGATTTTTATTATTAATTCTTTGTTAGTAGCACATACTAGGTATATCATTCCCAGTTTGAACCTTGTCTTGTCACTTTCTTCATGGTAATCTTTTTACTAGCTGTAGTTCTGAATGTAAATGAAATCAAATTCATTAATCTTTCTCTTAATCTCTTGCTTTTTGTTTCTTGCTTTAAAAATTTATTCCTGCTCTAAGTTTACACAGATGTTCTCTTATATTTCTTTGCAAAAGTTTTAAGGTTCTTAATCTTTTAAAAGAACTCTCATTTTTAATTGAGTAGTGATCTAATTCATCCCCCTCCCACTTTGGAGAACTGTAGCACCATGAAAAGTTCATCCCTTTTCCCATTGATCTCTAGTGCCACATCTATCATGTATAAAATGTACTTATATGTGAGCCTGTTTCTGGTATGTGTATTCTGTTCTGCTTTTTTTTTTTTTTAAATCCTTACATAAATTTCACACCATTTTAATTACCATAGCTTTAGAATAAGTCCTTTACTTGGTAGGCATATCCCCCCAGCTTGTCAAAATTCTATTGAAATTCCTGTTGGGATTATTAAAATTGCATTGAATCTATAAATATGTTTGGGGAGAATTGGTATCTTTACCATCGTGAACATGGTTTTTCTTTTTAGATATATTTTAAGATTTCTAAATACAGCTTAACATTTTTCTCCAGAATGGCCTTACATATTTAAAACAATTACTTCTGAGTACTCAGTATATTTTGTTGCTATTGTAAAATAGGTTCTTTAATTTAAATATTTGTTTATTGCTTGTATATATAAATGAAATTGACCTTTGGATTACTTTATATTCATTCTTATGCATTTCATTTTACAAAAAAATGTACTTGGGAACTTTATCTCAGTCTCCTTGGTACAAATTATAGCATCAAGTGAATATTAGATTTTTAAAATTTTAATCAAAAATTTAGATTTTAATTCATTCATAGTTATTACTTACTGTTTTACCAAGCAGTATGAAAGATTATTCTTCCCCTCCCCAAAAAGAACATATTTGCACTTGTTAAAGGAAACATAATAGTGTTTCTTAATCTCCCGTGGAGATTTAAAGCAAAACAAGTATGTTTGTACTCCCCTTTCAGAAATCCTGGTCTGTACATCCAGAGAAAACCTGAAGTCTCTATTTTTTAAAAAATCTCCACGTGAGATTTTGAAAACCACTGCCAGGGGAAGTTGCTAAACAGTAAAAAGAGCAGCCTGTGGGGTTATTGGAGGAGCATCTCATTTAAAATAAACTTTTATTCATTATGAAATAAACTAGGTGTGGGATATATCTGTATGTGTACATAAACTGAATTGCTTTGTGTTAAGTAACAGCAGATATGACTTTGAAGAGAGTGGGCATTGTAAAAGAACCCAGTTACAGTTTGAATGAGATGTGCTCATTTGTGTTTAGTATATTTATATTAAAACTTAGAAAGAGAGCTCAGTTGGTGGTTGCCTGAGGCGTAAAGGGTCATGGGTGGGTGAAAGAATGAAGAGGGTCAAAAGGTACAAATTTCCTGTTATAAAATGAATACGTCATTGGGTTGTAATGTACAGCCTGGTGACTGTAGTTAATGCCATATTACATATTTGAAAGTAGCTAGAAGAGTGGATCTTGAAAATTCTTACCACAAGAAGAAAACTTTTGTAACTATGCATGGTGACAAATGTTAACTGAACTTATTGCAGTGATCGTTTTGCAGTTATATACAATCAAATCATTATGCTGTGCAAACCAAAAAAACATAGAACACAATTTTGTTTTCCCCAGTTGGAGTCATTCGATGTCCAGTTTGCAGCCAAGAATGTGCAGAGAGACACATCATAGATAATTTTTTTGTGAAGGACACTACTGAGGTTCCCAGCAGTACAGTAGAAAAGTCTAATCAGGTAAGTGTACTAATTAAGTCTTAAATGTTTTGCCTCCTCTTACTGAGACAGCCTGAATTGTTGAAGGACTCTAAAAAGGTGTCTGACATTGACCATTATGTCTATCAAATTATGTAATATTTTAAAAGGTAATAAAGAATAATAAATAATTCATCTTATTGAATAAAACGGTACCAATTCAGAAGCCTTGATTGTACCCCCACCTTCCCTATCCCTTCAGAGAAAACCGTTATTCTATATTTGACAGTATTTCATTTTTTTGTAACTTTACTGTGTATTGACAATTAGATTTTTTAATTTCAAGTCCCACCTTTTTCATTTTTTTCTGTTTTAATGATGAACTCTATAATGATATGACAAATTCCATGTCTTTGATCAGTATGGTTTCTGCATTTTAAGAACGTCTTCTATTCTGCATGGTATTTCTTTGAAAGCCTCATTTAGTAATATTGTCCAGGGTGTTGGATTTAGAGACCCAATGATGTTTTTCTTTTTTCCCCACTTCCATAACCCACATGTAGAACATTTCTGTTGGCCCTTTAAATCTAAATGTCCGGTCGCTGGTGGGTGAATTGTAGTACTCTGGTGGAGGTGAGCTATGATTAATTCTGTACTAAAGTGTAGTGTATAGTCTACTTTTGAATCATGATTCATTGATGATTTCTCTAAGCATTTCCTTAAATTTGGAACATAAGATCTGTGAAGGAACAGAATCTGACAATGGAAAAAATGATTATTAATCTAAAATGTAAAAATCAAAAAAGTAATGTTTAGGGCACTTCAGGAATCACATAGCTAAGTTTCTGTACTTTTCATTTTCAGCTTTTTGTTTCTTGGGGGAACTGTGGGAATTTAGGGTTCATTTAAAATGAATATAGCCATTACTAACTAAAATATCCCTTTTGAGGGTGCGTGGGTAGCTCAGTTGGTTAGGCAGCCATCTCTTTATTTCAGCTCAGGTCATGATCTCAGGGTTGTGTGACTGAGCCCCGTATGGACATGGAGCCTGCTTGGAATTCTCTCTCCCCCTCTCCATCTGCCCTTCCCCCCTCCCATTGTGCACACATGAGCTCTCTCTCTCTCTCTCAAAAAAAAATTTTTTTTAAAAGATTTTATTTATTTATTTGAGAGAGCGAGAATGAGAGAGAGAGAGAGCACATGAGAGGGGGAAGGGTCAGAGGGAGAAGCAGACTCCCCGCTGAGCAGGGAGCCCGAAGTGGGACTCAATCCCGGGACTCCAGGATCATGACCTGAGCCGAAGGCAGTCGCTTAACCAATTGAGCCACCCAGGCGCCCCCCAAAAGTTTTTTTTTAAATATCACTTTTGTTTCAAAAGTATCCACAGTTCATCAAAGGCCAAAGCAGGGCTTGGTGCAGTGAACAAACTTTTTAATTGTTGTGAAACCAGCTTTAAAGCATGAAAATGCAGTTATTTATGTGAGGTACAGTGTCAAGTACTTAACACCTCTGAAAGTTCCCCTGTGAATACCAGCGATTTTTTATCTACTAGAGTGTCATGTCACTTTGCTTCATATGTGATTATATTTATACTAGATATACTTTGTTAGTCATATCACTCACCAGTTATGCTTCATCAGATGAACTCTAGTAGTGCATGTGAATGCTCAATCCAGAAAATTCAAAAGCAAAGCAGCATAAAAAATCAACAGGGTGGAGTTACGATCCTATATGAATTGATGGTGATAAGAGATGAGTATTGAAGGGATTCTAATCTAAAGGACAAATTTAAGAGGCTGCTTTATGCCTCTGTATAATCAATTAGTTTTGCTAAGTTTATCTACTCTGTTTTGTCACAAAATAATAGGAAGAAATTATAATCAATTAAACTAAAGATAGTCCAAGTTGACATCTTCATTTTAGGTAAGTGAGGCTAGGGAGGTTGTTAAACCTGGTTCAGGAGTTAGGGTACTTGGAGGGATATTTTGGGAATGAAGACAGGAGAGGTGATAATGTGGGATGAAGCAAGCAATAGGCAAGAGGTAATGAGGGCTGAACTAGCCTAGTGGCGATAAGGAAAGGAAGGGGAGAAGTTACAGTCCACACAAGACTTTGATATACCTGATTGGATGTGGAGGTGAGAGGGACCCCACTACCAGGATGGTGGTGCTTTTCACAGAGAGAAAGAGGGCAGGGAAGTACATGGAGAATTGGTTTTGAATGTGATTGAGTTTGCCTGTAAGACTAAGGTAATGTCATTTGTGATCAAACTGGAGCTCTGAGGATAGTTTATAGCTGAAGATAAAGTTTTAAAAACTTTTTGTTACAGATAATTTTAAGCATTACCAAGAGAAGGGACAGTTTCACATAACAGACTCCCATGTACACATTACCTAGCTTAGTAGTCACGAACTCATTTTATGTTTAACCTGACACTCCCCCACATACACACACTATATTATGTTGAAATTATTCCCAGGTATTATATCATCTAATCCATAAACCTTCAGTATTTCTATGGAAAAATAATTTTTTTAATGAATGGAACCACCATATTAATTTAACATATAAAAGAAATTTACAGTAATTCCTTAATATCATCAAACATCCAGTGATAATGTCGCTAATTGTTGTGGTTCTTTTTTTAAAACAGTGGTTTGTTTTTGTAATGATCCAATAAGGCTTACACAGTGCATTTGGTTGATTTGTCTCAACCCTATCTTTTAATTAATCTCAAATTACCCCTTCACTTCAGTGGCTTTCTTTTTCTGCCCTTTTTAACATATTTGTTAGATAAAGTGGGTGTTAGTCCTGTATAGTAAGCCTTATTCTGCCTTTTGCCGACCATCTTCATAAAGTCATTTAACATACTTCTCTGTCTCCTGTATTTTGTGTACACTGGCAGTAAAAATGTAGAGGCTGATTTAATTTCAGGTTCCATTGGGTGAGGGGGTATGAGAATACTTTCATCCATATGTCTGTGTGTACTTCAGTCAGGAGGCACAGGAGTTTGGTTGTCTTTCTTTTTCCTGATGTCAGTGGCCATTAATGATCGCTGCCATGATTCCGTATTATATTCGGCCTTGGAAAACTATGACGTTCTCATTCTGTCGTGCCCCTGTATTTCTTAACTGGAAGAGAAACCGAAGGCTTCCTTCATTTATTCTTTGGTTTTAAAGGAAAGGTAGGTTAAACACTTGATTCTTTTCCTTTAGTTGCTAAATTTTAGAGTAGTAGCTTAGTTTCTTAGCATTCTTCAGAGGTTGACTAATGAGTGGTGTGTTTGTGTGTCATTATGAATTCGTGGGCTTTTAACATAAAATCTGTTCTAGTTGTTAGTGATGCTCCACTTGTGCCATCTTGGCAACAGGAGCCTCACGTTGATTCCTGAGTCATGCTGATAACAATCACAGTAGTCACTGCTGTCTCCCCTGCTTTCTGTTTTGACATATTGTTAGAGGCTTTGGTTCCTTTTAGTTGGAAATGGTATCTGGAGACCACAGTATGGGTGCTGGGGATACTAATGACCATTGGGTTGGTCATTTGTCTAGGCCTTGCAGGAGAATGATTTAGCAAACACTTTTTATTGAAAAAAGAAAGTGACTACACTTACTATGTTGAACACTGCATGATGTATAGAATTTTTGAATCATAAAATTGTACACCTAAGACTAATATAACACTGTTAATTACACTTGAATAAAAAAGAAAAAACAAGTCCATCTGGCTTGGTCTTGAATTTAGGCCACATAGTGTCTCTTGGGGCACAGACAAGCATCCTCTCTAAGGCATCTTTTTTATTAAGAAGCTCATCAACCTCAAACACATGGAATTTTAAGGAACTACAATAGAGTCTCTGAAATCTTTATTAAGGGAAAGGGATAAACAGAATACAAAGTAAGTATTAGGTGATAGAAAACTGTCATGAGTGGATAAAGAAGATGTGGTATATATACACAATGGAATATTATGCAGCCATAAAAAGGAATGAGATCTTGCCATTTGCAACGATGTGGATGGAACTGGAGGGT